GAGTTAAAAATCTAGTGGTAATGCTAAGATTAACTAGCAGGCTAAAGCCACTGAGCCTTCCTCTGGCCTTTTTTGCTCTGTCTAGGCCCGCGTTCTTCAATCTTGGCAACTTTAAGCTTTGTGGACTTCAACTCCCAGAATTCCCCCGCCAGCACTGCTGACTGGGGAACTCTGGGAGTTGAAGTTCACAAAGCTTACAGTGGCCAAGATTGAAGAACACGGGCCTAGACAGCTGAAAAAGCCAGAGGAAGGGTCAGTGGCTTTGGCCTGCTAGCTAATCTTAGCACAGCTGGCTGGGGAATTCTGGGAGTTGAAGTCCACCCGTCTTCAAGTGGATAAGGTTGAGAAAAGGTTTGTGCGTCTCACTAACAAGAGAAAACCTGGTCCCGGTTGTTGTCGTAAATCAAGGACTACAGAGTTGCAATGAAGGTGGTCACTAAATGAGGACAGCTGGGCTGACTTTCTTACCCCCTGACACCGCTGGAAGTGATATTTCAGGCCATAAATGCTTGGGAATTCCAGCCAGCAGCCCAAGTTAGGACACTTCACCCTGGAGTGAGCCTTAAATTCATCCTTCCATTGATTCATCAGAGGCAGCTGAGAGGAGAAAGCCCATAAAATGAGAGAAAAGAGAAGAGAGAAAAGGAATTAAAACCCCAAGAAAAGAGGAGCAGAACGATTCAAAGAGAGCATCGCTGTATTCCTCAGTTTGACCTGAGTCTGTCATCTGCACCTCTATAACTGTCTGGTTTGGTTCTGCAACCCAACGGACAGACACAGACTCCAGAGAGTAATTAGGACTGCAAAAGAAACAATTACTACCAACCTGCCTTCCATGGAGGACCTGTATACTGCATGAGTCAAAAAGAGGGCTGTGAAAATATTTACAGACCCCTCACATCCTGGACATAAATTGTTCCAACTCCTACCCTCAAAATGACACTATAGAGCACTGCACATCAGAACAACTAGACACAAGAACAGTTTTTTCCCAAATGCCATCACTCTGCTAAACAAATAATTCCCTCAACACTGTCCAACTATTACAAAGTCTGCACTACTATTACTATTAATCTTCTCATCACTCTTTATCTCCCATTCCCTCCCACTTGTGACTGTAGGACTGTAACGTGGTCACGTGTATCCTACAATTTGTATTGACAATTTCCTAGTATGATTTGATTGCTTATTTTACCCTATGACTATGATTGTTATGCCTGATGACTCTTGACTAATGTATCTTTTCTTTTATGTACACCGAGAGCATTTGCACCAAGACAAATTCCTTGTGTGTCTGTCCAATCACACCTGGCCAATAAAGAATTCTATATCTAACCCAAAGCTTTCCAGTGAGCCTTGTAGAGTAAGATTCTAGAGTAAGGAAACAACTCAAGAACAGAGACTCATGCAGAGATAGTTACACGAACTAAAATCTTGCAAGAAGCAGAGTAACCAAAACTTCACCGCTAGCTCAATTGCCGTCACTTTAAGATGTTTGTGTACTTCAACTCCCAGAATTCCACAACTGGGCAAATTTGGGAATTGTAGTCCACACATGCTAGAAGGGAAATTCTGGGCTTGAAATTCCTGCTCCAGGGAACAAGAAGAGGCAACAAAGAACAGAGATTCATGCAGAGATAGTTACACGAACTAAACTCTTCCAAGAAGCAGATTGACTAAAATGTCACCCTAGTTCAATGGTCTTCAAACTTGACAGCTTTAAAACTTGTGGACTTCAACTCCCAGAATTCCTCCTCCAATCATGTTAGCTCAGGAATTCTGGGAATTGAAGTCCACAAGTCTTAAACTTGTCAAGTTTGAAGACCCTAGCCCTAGCTCAATCTTTGCAACTTTTTAAGATGCATGGACTTCAACCCTCAGAATTCAACAGCTGGGCAAATTCTGGGAGTTGTAGTTCACGCATGCTAGAATGGAATTCTGGGAATTGAAGTCCAAACATGCTGGCGAAGGAATTGGGAGGGGGGGCAAGTCAAAGTCCATATATATTGGAGGGGGATTTCTGGGAGTTGAAGTCCGCACATCTTAAAGTTTGACAAGGCTGGGGAAATACCTCCTTTGAGAATTTATGTGAGGATGAAAATAAGCAAGATGAAAAAGAAAATTCAAAAAAGAACTTTGAAACAGCAATTAGATATAGAAAGTCGTGTTTGAAGCAGCAACCTGATGTGAGATGGAAGGCTGAAGGAATGAGAGGGCAAAAAATAAAGGAAAAGATATTGGAAGACAAAACTACCCACTATGAAGCACCTCTGCCTTCCCCAAATGCCATTCCCTTACCTGGCTAACAGCCAATGGAACAATATGAGTATGTGTGTTTGTTGCAAATGCTTAAGCAATTGTGGGGTCCTTGGTACTCTCCGAGATCAGTTGTTTTCTTGAAGACATTTCATGACCCAGCTATGTAACATCATCAGTGCCAGAAGGCAGAGGGGTTTGCAGAGAGATGGAGGAGGAGAATTGTGGGATCCACGGTGTTCTCCGAACTCAATTATTTTCTTGCAGACATTTCATGAGCCAATTAGGTAACATCATCAGTGCTAGAAGGGAGTGGGGTTTGCACTCTGTTTATAAACAGAGAGCAAACCTCACGCCTTTCAAGCACCGATGATGTTACCAAGTTGGGTCATGAAGCGCCTGCAAAAATAAACCCCAACCAAGTTCAGAGAGTACCAAGGACCCCACAGTTCAGTCTTGAGCCACAAATATTTTCTTCTATCGGCTTAAGCAATCACCATTAATAAAGTTTTGATAGGTGGGGATTTCTCCGATCCTTTCACTCTTGCTTAAGATCCTGAGGTTCAGTGTTGTGACAAGATGCAACGCGTTGCTTCCTCTAGAACAGAGGTCTCCAACCTTGGCAACTTTAAGACTTGCGGACTTCAACTCCCAGAATGCAACTCTTCTTTGCTGACAGGAACTGTGGGAGTTGAAGTCCGCACCTTTTTTTCAAGTGGTCGCGGTTGAGAAACATTGCTCTAGAATTCTCTTCACCCAGAATGAGTGAAAGTTCAAATGAAGAAGCAGGAAAAATTCTGCTTCTTCCACCAGGAAGCAAATAAATGACAGGGGATTAAAGAGATTTTTTTTTCACCCAACAGCCACAGGCTTTAAGCAATCCAAGAGCTCATCAGTAATCCATGAAATTAATCATCATGCATGAATCTAAACAGCATGTGTTGGGACTTAAAAGCAGTTGGCAGTTCCTCAGCAGTGGTGTACCACAAGTTCCATCATCCTCATCCTGCCTAGAGGAAATGGGAATTGGCCCAAACTCACCAGGTGGTTTTCATGCCTAAGGCAAGACTAGAACTCACCATCTCCTGATGATTGGCCCAAATTCACCCAGCTGGCTTTCATGCCTAAGGCGGGACTAGAACTCACTGTCTCCTGGTGATTGGCCCAAATTCACCCAGCCGGCTTTCATGCCTAAGGCGGGACTAGAACTCACCGTCTCCTGGTGATTGGCCCAAACTCGCCCAGCTGGCTTTCATGCCTAAGGCGGGACTAGAACTCACTGTCTCCTGGTGATTGGCCCAAACTCGCCCAGATGGCTTTCATGCCTAAGGCGGGACTAGAACTCACCGTCTCCTGGTGATTGGCCCAAATTCACCCATCCAGCTTTCATGCCTAAGGCGGGACTAGAACTCACTGTCTCCTGGTGATTGGCCCAAACTCGCCCAGCTGGCTTTCATGCCTAAGGCGGGACTAGAACTCACTGTCTCCTGGTGATTGGCCCAAACTCGCCCAGATGGCTTTCATGCCTAAGGCGGGACTAGAACTCACCGTCTCCTGGTGATTGGCCCAAATTCACCCATCCAGCTTTTATGCCTAAGGCGCAACTAGAACTCACTCTCTCCTGATGATTGGCCCAAACTCGCCCAGCTGGCTTTCATGCCTAAGGCGGGACTAGAACTCACCGTCTCCTGGTGATTGGCCCAGGCACCCAGCCAGCT